TATATATATATATATATATATATATATATATATATATATATATATATACATATATATACATATAATACTTTTTACACAAACAAATATGTGTATATATATATATATATATATATATATATATATATATATATATATATATACATATATATATATATATATATATATATATATATATATATATTATGTTTTGACCATAAAATATCAATTTTATGTTTTTTTTAATTTAAAAGTCTGGAAAAACCTTTTTTTTTTTTTCATTTTTTTATTATTATTTGATAGACTGCCTGCCCCAACCAAAACCCTCAGTTAAAATTAGCAGTACTCTGCTGCAAGTGAGGCGATTTGTTAGTCAATATAGCAGCATTGCGTTGCGAGTCAGGTTATTTGTCAGTTGATGTAGCATGATTCAGGCTATAAATTAGTCGATGTAGCAACACTCTGCACATGTTCTACAGTTAAAAAATAAAAATATAAACATTCAGAATGTTTTTATTTTTGAAAAATAAAATAAAAACAACAACAACAACAAGATATTTATTTTCAAAATTTACAATCATATAATAACAATAATATAATAATAATAGCAATAACAACAATAATAATAATAATAATAATAATAATAATAATAAGAAGAAGAAGAAGAAGAAGAAGAAGAAGAAGAAGAAGAAGAAGAAGAAGAAGAAGAAGAAGAAGAAGAAGAAGAAGAAGAAGAAGAAGAAGAAGAAGAAGAAGAAGAAGAAGAAGAAGAAGAAGAAGAAGAAGAAGAAGAAGAAGAAGAAGAAGAAGAAGAAGAAGAAGAAGAAGAAGAAGAAGAAGAAGAAGAAGAAGAAGAAGAAGAAGAAAAAGAAGAAGAAGAATATCTATAATATTATAAATAATAAAATCAAAATATAATTATTAAGAATAAATATAAATAATTGAATGAGGAAGGAGTCACTCATGCAGAATCCTGATCAAAGGAGTGACACCAAATGGTTATATTAATAATATTAATTTAAAAAATAATAATCATAACAATAACTTTATTCATTAATAGAGCAAAAGTTAAATCCATTTAATACTCATAACAAAGTTATAAAAAGTATTTATAGTAATCACAACTTTTATTTTGTGAAAATGTTGTCACCAAATCCAATTTTGCTGCACCTAACAACTATGAAGTTCTAAAGGAAATTAAAACCAAACCGATCTAGACTTCCTTGTCGAATGCATGAAAGAAAAACTTAAGGTTTCTAACAGGAGACAGCAACTTCAAATTTTGACATTAACCCCAAAATCTTGATAGACCAAAATCAGAAAATTTTGGTCTATCAGAAAAGCAGCAAAAGAGTTTTCAGTTTCCAAACACAAAATTCAAAATGCAAAGCTTTTACGCGACCAAAAAGGCATCATTGCATACTCCAATGTAGTTGAACGACATCGAATCAGTAAAGATGTCATAGAACTTGTAAAGCTTTTTTACTGTGACGACGAGTATTCAAGGTAAATGCCAGGTAAAAAAGACTGTAAGTGTTGGGAAAAAAAATACATGTCAAAAAAATTGATTATGTGTAATCTAAAGGAGCTCTATGTGGCATATAAGATTAAGTACCCAGACCATAAAATTGGATTTTCTAAATTTTGCAGTCTTAGACCTAAATGGTGCATCCTTGCTGGTCCAAAAGGTACACATTCTGTTTGTGTGTGTACAATACACCAAAATGTTAAATTAATGTTGAGTGCTGTAGGCCTTGAAACATCTTACCATTAAATCATTGAAAAGATTGTCTGCAGCAGAAAATCAAAAGTTTGCATGAATCACCGATGCAATAGTTGTCCTGGCATACAAGCTGCCCAAATTTATTTCCAGCAGTATCTCACACAAAATGATGATCCAAAAGAGCAATATGACAGTGATGAAAATGAACAGTCAGTGGATTTCAAACAGTGGACAACGACAGATAGAACTGAACTATTAACAATACAACTTCCATAAAATGAATTCATAGAGCTCCTGTGTGAAAAACTTGATAAAATTACTTCTCATTCATTTATAGCAAAATCACAATCTAGCTATCTAAAGCATCTCAAAGAAACAATTAGTATTGATGAGGCTATTATACTGGCAGATTTTGCAGAGAATTTTGTAGTACAAAACGAGATACAGAGTTACCATTGGAGCAAGAGTCAATGTTCTCTTCATCCAGTTGTCATCTACTACAAAAAGTGAAATTGGAAATATCTTCTTTGTGTAATTTCAAATGATTTGAGTCATGATGTTGGATTTATCAATGAAGTTATGCATAAAACCATTAATCATATAAAAACTCATCTTTGCCCTGCAATTACAAAAATTCATTATTTTTCTGATGGCTGTGCAGAGGGGTATAAAAACTACAAACATTTTTACAATTTATGTCACCATGCTCAAGATTTTTCTGTTCAGTGCATCTGCAATTTCTTTGCAACAAGCCATGACAAATCTCCATGTAATGTAATAGGTGGCACTGTTAAAAGGCTTGTTTCAACTGCTAGCTTGCAGAGTCCAACAACAGGTCAAATACTATCTTCTCAAGCAATGTTTGAATACTTCTAAAAGTCAATCAGTGGGATTACGTTTGTGTACGTCACTGCTGAAGAAATGGAGCTAGTAAGAATCAAACTTGCTGATAGACTATTAATAACAACTACTATTCCTGGGACAAGAAGTTTCCATCAATTTATACCTTCTTCTCATTCAATTATAAAAATGAAAAGGGTATCCAATGATGATGATTTTACTCTAACATTTGACTTCCTCAATAAAGAAAAATACAAAATTAATAAAATTGAGAATGTTATGATGTCACAATACCTATTTTGCAAATACAACGATTTTTACTGGCTTGGAATGGTTTCTGAAGTTGATAAAGAGAATGACGATTTTATGGTAAAGTTTATGCATCCAAATTATCCAAGTCGGTCGTACTTTTTTTGAGCTTTTTTCAATAAAGCAGATTTTTTACTATTTTTCAAAAAGGTTTGCATTTTAGTTTCCTATTTTTTAACACAACAATACCCTATTATTAGACATAAAGTAATAATGTTATGTTAAATTATTATAATTAATAAATATAAAAAATTACATTTTCAATGTGTTGTATAGTAAATTATATTTCCATGTATAATTTTGAAAATATTGATTATAAATATGCAAGTTATGCAAAGGATTTTTTAATTTTCTTTTAGAAACCTAAACTTTTTTAAGACCTCTCATTTCACAATAAGAGTAAGGCAACTCCAGAAATTAGGAAAGGTAAACCATGGTTAAGAAATAAAAAAAAATTAACTGTTGATATTTTAAAATTGAAAAATTATACTCAATTACATTTATCTTTATCTTTGTATTCAATACCTTTAAAATTGGCCAGGTACCAATTTTCAGTCATATTTCTCCACTAGAACTTTAATTATGGAGAATAGAGGCTAAAAAATGATTTTTTTTGTCTAAATTTCAAAATGACATATCTTGATAATTCTTGAAGAAACCAAAACCATCTTTTTTATAACAATAGCCTAGTATCACCTACTTTGTTTGAAAAAAAAAATTGAATCCACAAGACTTGGGCAACTCCAGGAGTTGATGAAAGCGCAACCCATGGTAACAGAACAAAAAGTTGGACTGACCATTTTAAAATCAAAAAATAACCATCATAAAATTTAAATTTCACTATTTGCTTTACATTTTTGAATTCAGCACTCTCAAAAATAGTCAGGTACTCATTTTTAGCCACATTCTTCCACTAGATTTTAAATTATTCATTAAAAAGTACAACTACAAAATTTATAATGGCTGACTTGGCAAAAAAAGGAACGTTTTAGGCTGAATTTCATAACGTCATAACTTTTGAACCATTTGGATTTGGGAGCTCAAATTTTGCATTTTTTCATGTTTCATTATAATGTACCACTGGGTAAAATTTAAAGAAAATCCAAGAGCTGACTGAAATAACTGTCCCAGTTTTACATGGAATGACCCTATCATATCATAAACACATAAGATAAACAATTGTCAGAAAAGTTTTTCTGATATATATATATATATATTCAAATTAATTGTCAAAACATTATTTTGCTTTTTTTTATTAATGTTTCATAATTTTATAAAACTTATTAAAGTGATATTTCAAATGGGAAAGATATTTTTTACTATTTTTTTTTAATGCTAGCAAAATATGATTCATCCTAAATAAATAAATTTAATACAACATTAATAAATTTTTTAAAGTCATTTTCTTAATATATAAAAAAAATATGGGTAAAATTAAATAAATATGGCTCTGTATGTACTTCTTTGTATATATTTATTTTAATTTTAATATGTATTCTTTGATATTTCACTGATCTATCGTTATCAGCATCATCAGCTATAATAAATATAAATTGTTACAAAGAAAATTATTATAATAAATACAAACAGCATTTGCAATATCAAGTTTATTCCTTCAAAGTTAAATTAAAATTTTTCTTATCTCTACTACTCTTTCTCTTTACTTTCTTTCTTCATTTTAAAAAGCAAGTGGCCAAATAAAAACGTGAAGATCTTTTAAAATGCTATATTTTGTAACTCCCTGCCTCTGTGGTTTAGTGTTATAACATTTAAAAAATTTTTGCATTTTAGTAAAAGTTTTAATTCTTCTTCTTAAGAAGGAAAAAAAATCAAAGTTCTTTTTTATAATTTTATATTTATCTAATGTGAAAATTTTATGCCTGCTAAAGTTTATAACCCGTAATTTAAAAAATTCATTTCAATGAATTTTATGTATCAAAAAAATTTCTTAGTTTTTTACTTTGGCATGGACCAAAAAAAGCTTTTGTAAATTAGGGGAGTATGGGCATAAGCCTGAGCTATATCAAGCCATGGCTTATATATATATATATATATATATATATATATATATATATATATATATATATATATATATATTATATATATATATATATATATATATATATATATGTATATGCACTTTTCTTTTCAGCTACTTAGTTGGAATAACTATTTTTTTGAAAGAATGTAAAGACACTGACACCACCTTAAAAAAGTTAGAAGAAAAAATTGATTTTCTTTTACAACAGTTTCGTGACATCAATAATAGTATTGCTGCAATTAACAAGTAACATTCTTTTTTACAAAGACTTATTATTTTTTACTTCAGAAAGATAGTCATTGAAACTGATTTAATTTATGTTAATGTTAATGATTGATTTAATTTATGTTAATAATTAATGGTTGATCTAATTTATGTTACTTTATTCTATAATCATGAAATATTGTCAATTTAAAAAATAATATAATTTTAAAATAATTTTTTTTTAATATTATAAAGTAAATCTTAGAACGAGAGATTTGAAATCCTTTGTCAAAGAGTTGAAAGGTTATTTTTCAAGATTTAAAATTAAATTTTTAAGATTTATTAATTAAACACTCAAAGACCTCGCTATAATAGTAAGAATTGTAGTGAAACAGATTATACAATAATTTGCAAATAATGAAACAGACAAAAAACAATGAAGAACAGTTCAGAGCAATCTTTAAAATGTTTTAAAATTGAAACAATGGTAAATGGTATAAAGAGTAAGATTTAGAGAAAGAAGAGATGTGGAGAACACTTTTGCTGTTGCCGTAACAATAATTTTGTTTAGAGCGCATGCTGTAGAAGAGTTTATTTGAGCAATAACTTTAGCAACAAAAGCCAAAGTGATTAAAAAGTTTGTCTGGGATTTCAGGAAGATTATTAGAATTAAAAAATGAGTTAACAATATATGGTTCTTTACAAATAATTCTGCTCTATTCTAAGTGATGATGATAAAATAACATTTGTAATTTTACTCTGTATTTTCAATAATAAAATTTTAGGGTTGCATTTACTTTGTTTTGGGATCTCTAAACTATTCTGTGGAATTGAAATAACTTAAATTTTTAAATATTTTCAAATAAAAGATATTAACTTATTTTAGTTAAAAAAAGTTGCGGGAAAACCACATTCAGATTCTACTTTCGTTAGTTAAAACCACCTTCAGATTCTACTTTGGTTGGTTGAAACCACATTCAGATTCTACTTTGGTTGGTTGAAACCACATTCAGATTTTACACTGGTAGGTTTAATAGTCATTAAATTTGTATTTTCTTTGTAAAAAGTTATTTTGGTTTCCTTAAATTTCAAAATGTGGTACTTCTTTTTGTCTTCAGATTCATGTCTTCAGAGTCTCATGTGGGTTTTGCATCTTAGTCAAAATTTCTATTGTTTGAACTTTACTGAGTCAAGTGTTTACTTACATGAATTGAGGAAGAAATAGATTTGAACAGAGGGTCAAAAGTATTTTAGCTTTTCAGTTTTTCTGACTCACAAATATTAGTAATGTGTTAGCTGGATTTTCATATTCTTTTACTAGTGAATTGCTTGAAATCTAGAATTCTCACTACAAAATTTAGTTTAGAAATTCAACACAAGTAAAACTATAAATAAAAACGATAAAGAAAAGTTAAGAAATCTTGAGGTTATAGATCCTATGACAAGAAAAAAAAATGCAAATGGAAATGACAAGAAAAAAATGGAAATACATTAGCAATTTATTATTCAAAGGTACTTTATAAAGTGATGAAACTTTCTATGCTTTTTTTGATTTTTTAAAGCTTTACCTGAAAACTTTTCTATTCTAAAATTAATCAAGCCAACATTAACTCAAAATTTAACTCAAAATTGGGCCTTGAAAATTTGGTAAAAAGTATCTTGTTTGGCAAGCTATTTGTGACTGTGGTAAACAAAGTACACCTACAGGAACTGTGAATACAAACCCCTTCATAGAAGAGTGTTTTTTATTATAAGTTATTTTTATAAGGACAAGAGCTTTGATGATAGCAGATACAATTTTAGTCTTGTTATTAGATAAAGGAAATGTCCATTATTTTTTATTAAATTTTTAATTTTTTTTTTTTGCTGGCATAGTAACTATTGTGAGTTTTACTGAACTTGTAGAAACTAAGTGCATATGGGAGACCCTTTTTTGACCATTTATAATATAAAAATATTTTTGCAGTTTTTTTTTTTTTTTTAATTCACCTCCTCAAGGCTGAGAAGGCCACTATAGACGAGGAGGCTACTTATTTGTGATTATAACCCTCTCTCAACTCTATAACTCTGAAACACGAACCTTGACGAACAAGGCCGCTGCACGGAGAATTGAGTTGAGCGCGGTACTACCAGGGACGTGGTGGGGATCGAACTCGAAACCACTCGTTTATGAAGCGAGCGCTCTACCACTACACCACTACCGCATAGTTAGTAAACTTTAACACCATTGTCAGTCCTTTTTTTTTTGTTGTAAGAAATGTTTCCAAACACCTTTCTTTTCATAAATTATGTAAGTTTTTTAAAGGTTTTAAAAAATTTGTAAATAGAATTAGAATAAAAATCAAAAGAAGCTAGATTAAGTGTAATTTATTGACAGCAAATAGTTAGTAAATGTGATAATGTAGTATTTGTAGATTACCACTAGAACAATCAATAGATTCAGTATTTAAATCCACTCTTTGCCTCTTGAAGTACTGTGCAGTGACATGTTTAGACTTTAGGGTTGAAAAACATTTGCAAATAAAATAAAATTAAACTAAAAAATAATGGAGAAGAAAGCAATCATGTTACAATTAAGTTAAACAATTTATATATATTTATGTATATATATATATATATATATATATATATATATATATATATATATATATATATATATATATATATATATATATATATATATATATATATATATATATATATATATATATATATATATATATATATATATATATATATATATATATATATATATAATATATATATATATATATATATATATATATATATATATATATATATATATATATATATATATATATATATATATATATATATATACAGGGCCTATTCTAAGAATAAAATTTGGGTGGCAGTACCCCCTCGTTCATTTAGCAGAAAATCAGCGGTTTTTTCACAAAAATAACAATATTTTCTGTAAAAAAAGTATAAAAGAAAAATGTCCCCAAATTTTAATTTGGACGGCGCCCAAATACGGTCAACGCTGTCGAAAACGGTCTAGAGTAGCCCCTGATATATATATATATATATAATTTTTATTTACTAGGTGTTTTTCTTCATTAAATGAACTTTCTTATAATGATGATATAATGACAGAAAAAAGAAGAAATGAAACATTGCAAATGAAAGCAAAAGTAGAAAAATATAGACAACAAATTGAAGATTTTAAGGTATCAATTTTAAGTATTTATATTATGTTATGGTGATGCTTCTGCTCTTTACCTGTGCCAAAAGTTAATAAATTAAATCCATTTTATTAAAGTTCTTGTTAAAAGTTTTTGTAATTAATATTTTATTAGTTTTATATAGTTTATTTTTTATATATGTTACATTTAAACCTTGAGCGTTGCTTAAACAATAAGGTATTCACTTTAATAAAGTTCACCTCCTGAGGCTGCCTCTAGAGCCTTGGGTTATGAACTTTTTAAAAAAATTATTTAGTAATAATAAAATTTATTAGATTTTATTAATTTAATATTAAGTAAAAATGTTTTTGTTTTTTTTTATCTTTTAGGCTGTAAATAAGTTTGTTGACAAAAGGTTTCATCACGAATCACTTATAGAACTTTCAAAGGTATTCTTTTTTTATTTTTAATGTTTATATTTCATGTGTTATAAATAATTTTTGAATCATTTTTTTGTTTAATTTTGTTATAAATAATTTTATATTTTAGTTATAATTTTAATTTTTATGTGCTTAGATTTTACAAAGCTAATTGAATAATTTATGAAATTAAATAATATTGACTTTTTTTTTCTTTTGAACCAGGATTTAGAAGTACTTAAAAAAGAGTTAATACCTTTAGAGTCAAAGTTAAAAACTTTTAAAAAACTTCCTTCGGTAAGGTTTTTTTTTTTTTTTTTTTTTTAATGCAATTTTTAATACTTAAGAAACTAAAATAGTTAAATTACTTTTAAATCTAGGACTTGAATTTAGCTAAAGTTAAAATCGAGGAAACAAGGCGTGAACTAGTGAGTCAAAAAAGTGTTCTTGTGTTTTTTCTTGCAAAAATTTGTTTATTAAATTGTAGAACAATAAAAAAATGAATATATTATAAAGTTATTCATTTTTTTTTTTTTTTTTTTTTATGTTTGTTAAACATTTAGGAAAAACTGGAAAGTGAGCTTCAAGTTGACATTAATTTGATTGAACTATAATAGCAATGTATATTAGCACAATTTAGAAGATTCTCTCGGAGAAGCTTTGTATGAAAAGATTTAATGGATTAGTTGTTTAAATATGAAGAAGATATGGGTTACAACTCCAGTTAAATGAACAACAAATTATGGATTAAAAAAACATTTAAATATTTGGATTTTATTGTTTTATATTTATTTTTATTTTAATTTAAAAAAATCTTAAAGACAATTTTAAATAAAATTTAAACTTATTTTGTATATTAATTAAAATAGATTGCTTTTTATTTCCTTTTCTTTCTTGTTATGTAATATGCTAATAACAAGCTTTAATACCAAAGATGCAATAAAAAAAGCAAAAGTAAATAGTGAACAGATGGCTCCACATAATAAAACAGAAATTGATATTTGCCGCTTGCTTCAGCAGTGTGAAAAAATTGCTTCAAGTTCTTACAGTGAAGAAAAACCAATTGATTGGAGACTATCAAAGGTAAAAAATATCATATTATCTTTTTTGATAAAAAAATTACTCAATACACTCATAAAAAAAAAACATTTGATAAGTAAAAATAAAAAAATTATACTTTATATTTTATTATTTAGATAATAGTTATTTGAAAAAATTAATTTTCTGTAACTTTTATCTTCTTTAATTTAATTAGTGGAATTTCTGATTTTAATAAAAATTTTCAAGTGAAAATATAAAAAATAGAAATAGATTTTGACTTTGTTGTTTACTCTTTTCTTAAAGCTCATTTGATTATTTTCTTGAATTACTTGTGTCAGGTCAGGTTTATCCTGCTACTGGTAACATGTAACCCAGTACAATCTGCTTCATGTCCTGCTGCCTTGTAGGATATGCCTTTTAGGCAAAGGCTAGGAGATGCAAACTCCGACATAAAACACCCCCTGCTTGGGGCTCTGGGTTGAGTAAAGGCTAGAGATGGTGTCTCGATAAAAATACTCATCTTGGGCAGATGTTAAATGCATCCAGCTGCTGTCTTGTAGAAGGCCTCCTAGGCAAAGACTTGAGGGGTAAACAGATTCTATCTGTTGACCAGCCTCGCACCCCTTCTTCATCTATTAGGCTGGCGCAGATGTATTTTTAATACATTGTTTCCAGTTTAGGATGTTGAACGCTGGATCTTCTTGACTCAATTCATGGGTTTTGCTTTTGTCTCTGTTTTTATGACTAGGCAACTCATTCTATTCTCTCCAAATGAGGGTACAGTTAGGTTTCCTGAACTCTGTGGTAGCTCTCAGAGAGGCTGATTCCATCAACAGCTGAAAATATCAGAGTACTAACAGTGCCATGTTGCGCATGGATAGTGTCCCTGTTTGTACTTTTGGTGTGCATTGCCAAGGCCACATTGGAGCCCTTTGTAATGGCTTAGGGTTTATTAGTGGAAATGAGACAATTGCTTGGGCTATAAGACAGTGTGCTGAGTACTATCTATGTTTCGAGTCAAGTTCTTTAACAAATTCAAAAATGAATAAAGTAACAAAAACTATAAAACACAAAAAACCACAGTCATCACCAAGTTCGCTAAACCTATAATTCACCAATATTCGTGGTCTTCAAAATAACTTTTCTTCTGTTAAGTCTTATTTCTGGCAAAGTTCACCAGACCTACTTGCTCTTTGTGAGACTAATTTGAGTTCAGCTGTCTCATCTTGTGATCTTAGTGCTGATGGTTATCTTCCTTTAATTCGTAAAGACTTCAATAGTCAAATGCTTGGCCTAGGCATTTACATTCGTAAGAATTCAATCATTTGTCTGGAAACTAGGTTTGAATCCACAGACTACTCTTTTATGTGCTCTCTATCACCCCTCTCTTTGTTCTATATCGCTCTCCCTCATCTCAAGACTGCACTCTTCTTGATGTTATTTCTGATTATATTGACCAAGCCCTCATTCTTTATCCATCAGCCAATATTGTTGTTGTCGGTGACTTTAATGTTCATCACATTGAATGGCTTGGCTCTAGTGTTAGTGACTCTGCAGGCATTAAGGCCCACAACTTTTGTCTTTCTCAATCCCTAACTCAAATAGTCAACTTTCCAACTCGCTTTCCAGACAACCCAAATCATTTACCTTCTCTACTCGACTTATGTCTTGTTTCTGATCCTAGTCAGTGCTCAGTTTCTTCACACTCACCCTTAGGTGCTTCTGATCATGGTTTGGTCTCTCTAAAACTATTATCTCATTCTTCTTTACCATCAGAATCCCCCTATCATCGTACAACTACCTTAAAGCTGACTGGGACTCTTTTCGTGATTTTCCTCGTGATGGCCCCTGGGTAGAAATTTTTTGTCTCCCTGTTGACAAATGTGCTTCTTACATAACTTCATGGATTCAGGCTGGCATGGAATCCTTTATTCCCTCTCGACGATTCCAGGTCAAGTCTCACTCTTCTCCATGGTTTTCCTCACATTGTGCTGCTGCAATTGCCAATCGAAACCATTACTTCCATATCTATCAGCAAAACAATTCTCCAGAAAACAGACGCCTGTTTATTACTGCTAGGAACCATTGTAAAAAGGTTTTGTCTAATGTCAAAGCCCGCTATTCTCAGATCATGAAATCTCATCCGTATCACTCCAGCTTCTGTGTCTAATGTGATTTCCCGCTTAGATTCTTCTACAGCTTGCGGCCCGGACAACATACCTGTTATAGTCTTGCAGAAGTGTTCTCCTGAGCTGTCGTCTATCTTTTCAAAAATATTCAACAAGTGCTTATCAGAGTCTTGTTTTCCAGCCTGCTGGAAAGCAGCATCTGTTATCCCTATTTTTAAAAATTCTGGAGAGCGATCCGATTCGTCTAACTACTGTCCCATTAGTCTTCTTCCTATCATAAGCAAGGTTTTTGAATCTTTAATTAACAAACACTTAATCTCTCATCTCGAATCTCATAACCTACTTTCTGATCATCAATATGGATTTCGATCCTCTTGTTCTACGGCTGATTTGCTCTCAGTAATAACCGATAGGTTTTATCGCTCATTAGATAATGATTGAGAGGTTAAGGCCATTGCTCTTGACATTTCTAAAGCGTTTGATAAAGTTTGGCATGCTGGTCTTCTCCATAAGCTTTCTTCTTACAGTGTATCTGGAAACACTTTTAAGATTATTGAATCGTTCCTTTCCAATTGTAGTATAAAAGTTGTCCTCGATGGACAGCACTCTTCTTCTTATTCTGTAACCTCAGAGGTTCCTCAAGGTTCAATCCTTGGCCCTATACTTTTTTTAATTTACATTAACGATCTTCCAGATATTCTCACATCTATGGTGGCATTGTTCGCTGATGATACTACTATTTATTCTTGTCACAATAAGAAGCCAACTCCCTCTGATTGCTTGCAGGGGGCATCTGAGCTTGAAAAGGATCTCACTTCTGCTACAGCATGGGGCTCACAGTGGCTGGTGAACTTTAATTCAGATAAAGCTCAATTTTTTTCAGCCAGTTGTTATCGCAATAATTTTTCCTATATTTATGAACGGTAATGTACTCGATGAGTCTCCTACCCTTCATCTTCTAGGATTAACTCTTACTTCTGATCTTTCTTGGAAACCTTATATCAAATCCGTTGCAAAATTAGCATCTGTTAAAGTTGTTTCTCTTTATCGAGCTCGTCACTTTCTTACTCTGGATTCTATTCTTTATCTCTATAAATCTCAAATGCGGCCTTGTATGTAATACTGTTGCCATATCTGGGGCGAATCTTCTAATGATGCCCTTTCTTTTTTAGACAAAGTGCAAAAACGCATTGTAAACTTAGTTGGACCTGCTCTTGCAGCCAACCTTCAACCTCTGTAACATTGTTGTAATGTTGCTTCTCTTTCTCTTTTCTACAAATGCTATAATGGGCACTGCTCAAAAGAGCTAGCGTCTCTTGTGCCATCTACTAAAATTCATTCTCGTGTTACTCGTCATTCAATTAAGTCTCATCCTTTTTCTGTTACTGTTCCTAAGTGCTCTAAAAACTCTTTGTCTAGTTTTTTTCCTCAAACATCAGTTTTTTGGAATTCGCTTCCTTCATCTTGCTTTCCTGATTCATATAGTTTGCAATTTTTAAGTCGTCTGTCAATTGTTATCTTGCTCTACAATCTTCATCTTTTCTCTTCCAGTAACTTCCAACACTAATTAGTGGTTGCTTGCTGCCTTGTTGGAAGCAAAGATAATTTAAAAAAAACAAAAACAAAAAAACTTTTAATCAGTTAAATAAAAACATGTTATTGTCAAGCTTATGGAATGGAGATTTTTTACTTTAATACATTTTTTCTGATCTTCTTTCTGTTCTTTTTTTGTGAAAAGATAAGTAAAAAAGAGAAATATTTTTATTTTTGGGTATTGTCTTATATAATTCATTTTCTTAAATGATGTTTTTAATCTAAATTTTTATTATTATTATGTATTTTTATTTTATTCTTTATTGTCCAGTAAGTTAATGTGAATAGAGATTTAAAATGTTTTTATTCAATAAATGGTTTTTATTTTGAAAGTTAGTGCAGTAACAACTCAAAACCAAAATGGTAGTCATCATATTCAAAAAATTGTCATCACAGTAGTGATTACAACAAAAGTTACAATACCCTTTAACTGTAAATTCCCCTCTTTAAAAGGGAATTTACAGTTAAAGGGTATATATACTATTAAAGGGTATTTTCAGTTATGTTGATAAAAATATTCAAAGCTTGTATAAAAATATTACATCGTCGTATTTATTGTTTTAACGCAATATTTCTATCAAGTGTGAGTACAATATTTTTTTTAGGTTAATCAATAAATATAAAGACAATTGTTACTGTTTGTACAAAAAATGATTTATCAAGCTCAAATCATTTTTATTTCATTTTTAATAATGTTTTGAAAAAAAATGTTTGATAATAATATCCTAATATTATTCCTCTCAAAATATATTTTACAGTTTTATTAAGTCAAATCAATGCAAATTATTAACATGTCTGAGATAATGCTGAATTATAAGATAATGCTGAGATAATGCGTGCGTAGTTTTTGTTGGTTTTTTTATGCAAATTAGTATTATTATTATTTTTTTTTTCTTTTGTTGTTATTAATTATCTTTTTATATATTTTCAAGTCAAAAAATTTTAATTTTATTTTTTTAGTATTTGCAGTTTTTGGATCGTCAAATTGAATTTTTAGAAAGAAGTGAACAGTAAGCCTTACAATCAGGAATGTGAAGTCTTGAGACACCAGTTTTAAATGTCATATAATCACTATTTGTTATTATTATTTGGTGTCCAGATGCTCAAATCAAAAGTAATTTAATAAGAAAGTATTACTGTGAAACTTTTTTGAATTTTTTTAGCCTATTATTTTTTAGCTTCTAATCCCTGGTGTATTAGGCTCCATTATCTAAATTAAATTAATAAGTTCCTGTACTTTAAATGTTCTGATTTTTTTCCCCCAAAGTATTCCATTAATCTTAACTTTTTCTGAGCTCCTAGACACTAAAGATCAAGAATAAATAGAGATTTTGTGACTATCAAATTGGGAGTCATTTGGAACTTTATATCCTTGATTATAATAGTGTAAAGTTAAAAATAATAAGTTAATATTTTTTAAAGCTTGTATATCTTGTATACATGTCAACTTTGTTTGTGTTTTTTTTTTAATGAAAGAGTTTTTATTTGTTTATAACTGATGTATTCATTTACAAGTTTTCTTTATTTACCATTTAGTCATCAAGTTTACTCTAAAGCATAAAATTTTTTAGTAAAGTGCTGATGATAAGTCATTCTCATCATTCTTATCATCAAGTTTTGTTTGGCGTACTTTTTAAAAATATGATTTTAATTTTACAGAAACAAAAATGAAACACTGAGAGAGTACAAAAGAAAAATTTTGTTTCTTAAAGATATTGTAAAGGCTGATGAATTGGTAATGCTATATTTTTGCTAGTAAAATTAATAAAAATTTCAAAATGTTTTATTTTATCTATTCAAATGAAATTTGGATTTATAAAGTAAAATTTATAAAAATCACAGGTTATCTAAATTATTAGAAAAATCCTCTGGAGAGAGTTATGTTATGTAACCATTTATTGCCATCAGCTGTGATAAGCAGTTCATCTACAGAAGGGAGTGGAAATTCTACAAGAGATCTTCATTTGCAAGTCAAAGGAAAGCACCAGAAGGACATAAGAAAGGAATTATTTGGTATGTTTATATTTCCAGTGAATGGCCATACAGTCAGTTAGACACAATATGTGTTTTTATAATTTTTAAATATTTTATATTTTAGTTTTTTTTTGTTCTTTTCTTTGCCAATAATACTTTTTTAACTATATTTTTAACTATATTTTTGTATATAGAAAAACAAATAATGCATCTTAGGATTTTATTTTAATAAAGATCTTTAATTTAGTTGAAGTTTTTATTTTATATATATTACTGACTTTTTTAGTTTCCGTTAAACAAAGTCAGTAATTTATCATACAATGATTGGTCTTTAAAACATTTATCCAATAATTTAAATAACTTGAGCGTTTTATTGAAACCCATTTTATTGTTTGGTTGTTGGAAGCAGGGCTGTGGAGTCGGAGTTGCGGAGTTGCAACATTTTTTGCGCAGTCGGAGTTGCTAAACAAAATTGGGACTCCGACCCCAATAGTAAAACTTTTCGGTATTGCACATGCATGTACAAAACATTCAATTAACCTTATTTTCATACTAAACCTCAAAAAACGTTTCATAAATTTGTCGAAAAATTTTATTTTTTTTATTGCATAATATTTTTTAAATAACTCAAAGAATTTTTTTAAAATTTTGCTTTGGAGTTGTTGTCGGAGTTGGAGTCGGAGTTGTACTCAAAAAAATTTCAACAACTGGAGTCGAAGTCGTTACTTTTTTTTTACGACTCCGCACCCCTGGTTGTAAGATCAAGTTTTTGAAATTTACAAAAATTTAAAACTAAGTAACAAATGACATGTAAATACTACTTAAATAAATACATTATTTAAGATGGTTTTTAATTTAAGCTCAGTAATTTTATCAAAATGCAAGGTTATGATGAGGTCTAACAAATTGTATGAATTATTTTTGTCTAATTAAAATATTTGTATATCCACATGTTGAACCAAAAATATCTAGATTTACTATGGCTAGTAGCGAAAAAATAACTAGGATTTACTATGGCTGGTAGCAAAAAATTTAAATTTATATGAAAGTTTTTTACTGTGATTGGATTGATTTTTGCTGCATCCAAAACATCTGGTAAATTTTCTGATAAATATCTAGTTATATCTTTGTGGCGATTGCTAACAAACCCTGTGTCTTTGTATTCATTTTTCTTAAGATTTTTTTTCACAGGTTTTTCGAGTATCTAAAAATTATTTATTTTTTTGCAGTGTAAGAATGTTTGGTTTTTAATGCTGTTACCTAAGAAATAATTAAATTATTTTAATAGCAATCTTTTTGGCACTGATATATTCTTTTTTGATGTATTTTCAGCACTCTTCCATTCTTTGAATCTTTGCTTGATCACATGATCACATCATGTTCAGCATACTTTGGTTTTAGGTTTAGGTTGCAAAATGTTAGCAAATTTATTTTAACTTTGTCTTTTTTAATGTAATTTGTAATTCAATAAAATTAATTTGTAATAATCTTTTTTTAACAAAAATTTCTTCCTAATGCTATTAATCTTTTTTCTCTGACATAATAAATCTAAACTTGTTATGTATGCCTGATAAATCTGAACTTGTGATTTATGAAAATTTTCATACAAGTTAACTACTTATTTGTAACACAATTAAATCTATTGTTTTGTGAATTTAACTGTGTTTTGATAAAAAAAATTCATAAATTGAGACTGAAAATTTTTTCAATTTAGATACATGAAGCTTTTCAGTTTTTTATTATTTTCTTCTATTCTTTTCTTGTTATAACATTTTTACTTTACATGCAAACCAAAAGCTTTGTCAGTTCTTGATACCTTTTTTTAACACTTACTGTACAATTTCCAATCTGGGATAACATCTCATGCTAAAGCTAATTAATATTTGATTTTTCTTTTGTATTTCAATGAAATCTATTTAGATCTTTGGTAAGTATGTTAATTGTATAATGGAAAGCCATCTAAGCCATTCAAGTTTGGAACTTAAGGTGTTAAACTAAAAAAAAATCTATCCTGCTCAACTTTGTATATTCTATATTTTTATGCTTCATTTTATATTTATGCTTTTGATATTTTATGCATTTTATATTTTATGCTTCATTTTATATTTAATTTTATTAATTTATTTTCTTTTTGAGGTGAAAATATTACTGGCGATGGAATTTACAGAAGGAAGTATGTTGTTTGATGTTTTTTCATATAGTGAAATGTTTTATGAAAGTGTGTTGCCTATTTTAATTTTTGCAATATTTTGAACTTTTTTTCTCCTCTGTTATATTTTGCTACCTGTCAAATTCTCTAATTTATTCTTTTTTTTTAATGAACTTTGTTTTATTATAAAACTTTATTGTTTTAGAAAACTAGGTGAAAAAAAGTTTTTAATTCGAAAAGTAAAAAATAGTTTTTCTTGTAATTTTTGTTTACAAATTGTTCCTTAGATTTTTGAAATCCTAAAATTTTTAAAATATTAAATTTTATTTTGAAAATAATATAATTAATAATTTAATTAATTTAATAAAGAGTATTTATCATTGATTGTTCAAAATTTGATCCTCAATTTTTTTTTTTTTTTTTTCAGTTAGACTACTGTTTGATTTTTTATTTCAACAACTTATTTAAATCAACACGTTAGCCAAAAAATTGATCAAAAATCATCTTTAAACAATAATTTAATACTTTAATACTTTAACAGAATACTTTAAACAATTTTTTGGAAAAAAAATGTTTAAAGTATTCTGTACTGTTTTTAGTTCTAACACAAGTAATTTATTTAGAAACAACTGATTTTAGTGATTATTGCATCACTTTTCATGAATTTTCTATACTCTTTTTAAATGAAGTCATTAGTTATCTTTATGTTAAACTCTTATTTGAGTTTAAAAGCAAACTTTAAAAGCAAACTTTAAAACAAGAGATACTTTTTAGCTGAGTGAATAAAAACATTTTATTTGTGTTTTTTTGCTTGCAAAAAAGGGAAATGAAAGATCAGCGTTGATTAGATTTATTAATCAAATGCTAAATTTAAATTTTTTAATAGCTTTAGCAATTTTTGTTGTTTAGAATTATTAGTGATACTGGTAAAGATAATTTTGCTGTTTAGAAACATTAGTGATAATGGTAAAGATAATTTTGATGAAATTATTAAAGCTCATCACGATATGCAAGAAAAAGTTGCGAATGAGATGATTAAGATGGCGCAATCAATGAAGCATACATCTCTTATAGCTAATAAAATAATTAAAGATGATAATTTAGTAAGTTTTTTTTGTTTTTGTATATTTACTTTATGTATTCGGTTTTTTATGTTCCATTATTATAATTTTAAATTGGAAATAATAAATACTGTTATTAATATAATAAATACAAATAAAAAAATATTAATAAAATATATTTTGTAGGAATTAGAAAAAGCTACAAAAATGGCAGAGCAAAATAGCAAAAAACTCAAAGTGGAATCTGATCGTTTGGAAGAACTTACAAATAAAACTTGCTCATGGACAATTTGGATTATGCTTATTATAGTTTGCGTTGTTTTTATAAACATGATTATTTTCATTAAGTTTTTTCCAAAGAAAAGAAGATAAAACAAGTGATAAAAAAAGTTAATAAGTTGAATTGGAAACTTGTTAAAACATTTTTATAGAATATTCTAAATGAAATTTTTATTAAATATTCGAAATTAGTAATAAAAATAAAAAAACTTAAATTATTTATTTTGTTAAAAGGTAATGGTGAAATTGAAATATAAATACTAAATTAGTTTTGTGTTTTTGCTTCATTTATTAATTAGTTTAATGGTTTTGACCATAATTATTAACTGTATATAAACTATTAGAGAGTATTAAAAATCACAGGTGTTTAATAAAATTATGTTAAAAGTATAAAACATTCACTTTTTTTTTTGTTTTTTCAAATGCGTAATATTACAAAAAAATATTTATGTAGGGTATTATTCTATTATTAAATATTTTCTGACTCTAGGAAAAAAATTCCTTGTTCGAGAAACTTGAAAAGTTTTAAAATCTTTTGATTGCGATTTTTACTTGTATCATTTTATTAATACTCCAAAAATCTTTTATGAGTTGATATTTTGTTTATTTAATGGGTTAGCCACTAAATAAACAAAATATCAACTCATAAAAGATTTTTTATGAGTTGATATTTTAACCACAATTCATTCAACTCTTGTCAAAGAATAATGCACTTTTTTGGTATAATCTGATTGGTCAAGGTGAGACCTGAGTCATCATGGTAGCATTTTTTTAATGGGATCATATTTTTCGTGCACTGATATAAATGTACAATTTAGTTAAAAGATGATTTTAAATGGCAATTAAACAGCAATTACACTTTTAATAGATTTTTATAAAACACCAATTAGTATTAAAAAAATTAATTCAAAATAAAAATAGAAAATAAATATTTTATTTTAAATACCTAATATAAATATTAAGTATTTAAAATAAAAGTTAAATTAAAGTTAAACTAATAAAAATGTGTTCTAAAATAATAATAAAGAGTCTGATTGTAATTGAGGAGAAATAAGATATATATATATATATATATATATATATATAATATATATATATATATATATATATATATATATATATATATATATATATATATATATATATATATATATATAAATGTATACATATATATATATATATATATATATATATATATATATATATATATATATATATATATATATATTTATGAAATTTTTTTTTTTTTTTTTTAATGTTGGAAAAAATAACACTTTTTTTTTTGAAAGTTCTATATTAAATATTAGTTTCGTATTATATATATATATATATATATATATATATATATATATATATATATATATATATATATATATATATATATATATATATATATATATATATATATATATATATATATATTAATTATATATATTTTTTAATTTTATATTAAAATAACTTTTGTATTTTCATTAATAACAAAAAGGAGAGTGTATCCATGGAAACATGACTTCACCTAACATTTTGTTTGTTCCCAGAAGCTTGAACTATAAAACAGGTATTTGTTATATAATGTAGTTGCTAAAATTTAAAATCCCCTATTTAATACAATAAATTGTTAGCGCTTTAGCAAGCTTATACATATAAACACACATATTTTGGTCAGACACCTTCAGTATGGTATGTTTAAGTATATTTTTATTTTATAATATCTATATACCAGAAATTTTTATTTTATACCAGAAATTTTTATTTTATATCAGAAATTTTTATTTTGTACCAGAAATTTTTTTTATACCAGAAATTTTTATGTAAAATAAGCAATTATTTCAGAAAAATATTTTTCTGAAATAATTTCACACAACAAGAAAAAATTACTTTTGTTAACTTTTTTTTTTTTACCTAAAAAAATCAATGTTAAACATTTAAACAAAGTTTTTGAAATTTTTAAAAATATTTTTTGTGACCTTTTAGTATTAAGTAAGGCATATCCTGACCAATTTGTGTTCAATTGGACATGAAGTTAGCCATTGAAGTCACTCAATTTTTATTTGTTTTCTTTTTTTGATCTTAATGCCATAACAGCTTCAATTATAGATATTATTTTACCCTTTGCTTATGATCTTGGTTGATTCTTCTTATGTTTAAACATTTTGTATTTTTTAATCAAGTGAAGGATGGTTCCTAATACCATTTAAGTTGTTTCTTGAATCAATTTAAATTATTTATGTTACTTGAACATCTTAATAAATAAGTTAAAGTGAGCTTGTAATTGCTCATTTACCTTCAGTTCCCATTCTAGATTTTGTCTATGACAAATTAAATAGCTTTAAAAAATTTTTGAAAAAAATTTGTTCCTTGTTAAATTTATATTAGTGGAAAGGTTATTTCAAGTTAATTCCTTGTTAAATTTGTAATAGTGGAAAGGTTATTTCAAGAAAAGAAATTCATCAAAAAAAAAATGTTCTTTGCGATAAAATTAATTATTTTATTTTGATAAATTCAAAATTCTATTAAATTGTATTTAAAATAGATATTTCTCTAATTCTATTGTGCAACGAATTTCTCAGTCTGAAAAACAAGGCCAGTAAAAGCACAAGTGTTAGTTCATGGTTTTGCCCCTTAAGATTATCTGATCAAAAAAGATGAAATAAAGTGGAAAAAGGATGTATTGCAGTATACCACTATGTGGAAGTTTGTTTTATAATAACAATATGGAAAAGACTAACATTGTTCTGTTTTGAAGGTATTGATAACTGTGAAATAATAAAACACACTTGAATGTGTGAGGCATGAAGAAATAAAGATTAGATGTGGTAAAAAATCTATAAAAACAGTTAATGAAGTTTTTATTTAAGACACCACAAGAGAATTTACCTAGAAAATCACCTTGCAAAATATCCAGAGTTAACAACTAATATTGATAAAGAACATCATAATATAGTGGATTCAACAAAAAATTGTGAAAATTATAAGTTGTAAGAGCAATGGTAGAAAAAAAATTAAAACTTATATAAAAAGGATTTTTTTAATAAATGATCTTCTTAAGCCTTTAGGTTTAATGTCTAGTATTCCAGTATTTTTAAATGATCAACTATCACACATAGAAGTTTTAAAAAGTCAAACAGTAGCAGCTTTACAAGTACATCTGTTGGGTGCCATTCAACGAGTTATAAAAAATAAGCATTTTTAAAATGGACTGCATTTTGCCTATTGTGTAACTCTATGGATACTTCTATAAGGCAGTAAAATATAAGAAACCTAATATTTATTATTGAAATATGTAGACAATATTTTTAATAAAAGTAACTGAACTTATCAATCACATCTTAAAAATAGGATTTTTCAAATTTACAATATTTACAATAATAATAAAAATTTACGTTGACAACAATAGTTCCTTTGTAAACATAAAACATAATACTCCTGAAAGTATTGAACCAATAAAATGTTTCTTTCGCAATATAATTTTTAGGATTTGCATTACTTTTGTGTTAAGTAAAATTTCAAATAATTTAAATTTTAATTAGTTTTACTTAAGTAATTTTTAGTTAGTTATACTTTTGTAAGTTTTGGTATTAGTAATATTATAGTAAATTTCAATTAATTATACTTTCCAATCAATAAAAAGTCTAATTGTCTTGCATTCTTTTGTCAAGCCAAAGAATGCAAGGTTGAACTGAATTGATGAGGATCAAGATTCAAGGATGAATTATTTTCTACTATTTTATTATTTCGATTTAATTGATAAGTTATTACATTTTAAAACTTTTCTTTTGCAATCTCTTCATTAATTTTTTTATGATTTTGCATTTTCAAATTTTTGTTTATCTTATGTTAATTGTTTTAAAATCACATTTGTTTTAAAAACCAAAAATTCATACTTATTTTTCCAAATATAAATCTTATGTGCATGTTATATATTCATACTTATTTTTCCAAATATAAATCTTATGTGCATTATATTATATATTTTCTTATATCCTATATTTTATCTCTTTAAACTAGTGTGGACCTTTGTTTTACATTTTATTTTTGTAGCAATATATTTCTTCTTGCAAAAAAAATTTTTTTTTTTTTCATCAACTCAATTTCATTTAGAGGATAATTTTTATAATATTTAATAATAATAATAATAATAAGATAATATTTAAAAAGTAAAATAAGATTAGAAATTGTTATAACTTTGTTTTTAATGTTTTGACGGCAGGATAAAACAATAACGGTTTGATCAACTAAAAAAAGTTGGTATGAATGTGAAGACCCTAAACACTGCATGCCAAATTTTGTGATTTCTTTCTAACATTTTTTTAATATTTTAATAGAAGTTAAACAGTTGTTCTTGATTTCAAGGAACTTTAGAAAAGAATTGTTCTTGATTTCAAGAAACTTTAGAAAACAGTTTAAGAACAAAGTTTGGAGTTAACTGAATCAATTTGTTGGAATTTTTTTTTTTTTTAACATTTTCACTTCTAACAAGGCTGCATGCAACCACCATTTGAGTTGGAAGTTACTGGAAGAGAAAAGATAAAATTTATAAGATATAACAGACCATTTAGAAGATAGCAAATTGTATGAATCAAGAAAATAAAATGAAGGGAGCGAATTCCAAACGATTGATGTTTAAGGAAAAAAACTAGACAAATAAGAATTTTCGGAGCACTTAGGAACAGTCACAGTAAAAGGATGAGACTTAATTAAATGACAAGTAACACAAGAATGAATTTTAGTAGATGGCACAAGAGATGTAAGCTGTTTAGACCAGTGCCCGTTAAAGAATTTATAGAAATAAGAAAGAGAAGCAACATAGCAACAATGTGATCCCTGAAGTGACAGAATATGAAGAAGAACGCCGTCCATTGAGGACAACTTTTATACTAGATTGGTAAGGAAGGATTCAATAATCTTAAAGATACACCTTAAGAAAAAAGCTTATGGAGAAGACCAGCATGTTAAACTTTATAAAAAGCTTTAGAAATGTTGAGAGTGATAGCCTAAGTCTCTCTAATCTAAAAACGCATGATAAAAACTATCAGTTATTACTGTTAACAAATCAGCAGTAGAACAAGAAGATTGAAATTCATATTGATGATCAGAAAGTAGGTTATTAGATTCAAGATATGAGATTAAGTGTTTGCTTATGATAGTAAGAAGACTAATAGGATGGTAGTTAGACAAGTCAGATCGCTCTTCAGAATTTTTGAAAATATCAGATTCTGCTCTCCAGCAGGCTGGAACACAAGACTCTGATAAGCCCTTAAATAGGGGTTAAATAGTTTTGAAGTTATAGATGACAGCTCTGGAGAACACTTCTGCAAGACTATAAATTACCTGTAATAAGTAGTTTATTGCATTTGTTTATACTTTTATTGTTACCAGCCTCTTTTATGTTGAAAAATAGTTGTGCAATCAATTAGAGAAATCTCTACTTAAACTATTTTAATTTTAATTTTTATTTTCTTGTTTTAAAGCTTTTGTAAGTTTTATTTAAACATTTTTGCTGAGATTTTAGGAAGCACAAAGTCAAAAACGAAAAATGTTCAATTAGTTACATTGCCTGCTCAAAATAAAAAACAAGCAGAAATCAAAGTTTCTAGTTTTCAAAATGCAACTCCTTTGGAAAATATTTCTCCTCCTGCACCACTGGATACCTCAAATGATGAGGTAAAAAAGTTAAGTTCTGAACAAAGATGGCCTGATATTGATGAGCCTGTATGTGTTGTTTGTGGAAAATATGGTGAGTATATATGTGATAAAACAGATGAAGATATATGCAGTCTAGAGTGTAAATACAAACATTTAAATTGTAACACTGTTGATGATTTAATAACTTGCCACGAATTTAATGAACTCTCTTTTGACTCATTTTATGAGTCTAGAGTCAAGTATAAATTACATCCAGTGGTAGCATCTATGGCCTCTGAAAAACTTAATTTTATTAGAGATAAGTTTGAAATTAAAGTTAAAGGTGTACACAAAGCTCCGATATTGTTGGAATTTCGTGATTTTAATTTCCCTGCTCAACTTTTCAAGAATCTAGAAGAAAATAACTATAAAACTCCTACACCAGTCCAAATGCAAGTTGTTCCACTGTGTATGCTTGGTCATGATGTGTTAGTTTCAGCAGCAACTAGTAGTGGAAAAACAGCAAGTTTTTTACTGCCAATTATTTGGGCTGTTCATGAATGTGTAGGTAATGTTTTTATTATTGAAGCTAGTCAAGTTACTATTGTTTTAATTTTTTTTCTTTTATATATATAGAAAATGAATTTTTAATAAAGAACTTTAATGTCATCAAAGCAGACATTCCATAGCATTTTTTGTATATAATTTTGTTGTTACTTTTTTGTTGTTGTTACATCTGATGATCGCTATCGTGAAACTTTTAGTTATTTAATTGAAATATACCTTGATAATTATTTAGTTTTCACTATATATATATATATATATATATATATATATATATATATATATATATATATATATATATATATATATATATATATATATATATATATATATATATATATATATATATATATATATATATATATATATATATATATATATATATATATATATATATATATTAGGGGTAGTCAATTTGAGGAAATTTTCAAATCTAAAATACCATACACTCTAGATTAGGGGCAAATATTAAAAAAACAACTCCCAAAAAATTTGAGCTCAACAGGACCACTTTATCCTTACCCCCTAAGCACTTTTTTAGAAGAAAAATCTTAAAAACCTTCAAAAATTGTCGATTTCATAGGTCCAGGGGAGAAGTTTAATTACAAAAATTTTAAATTTTTTTTTTTTTGGGTTCCTCATTTTTATCTATATATTTGAGTAAAAATATATGGTATCATAGTATTGTTCAAAAAATATTTTTATTTTTGTATTTTGAATTGAAAAAATTACAATATACAATTATATACTAACTGCATGTATGCTACTAACAAAAGATTATAACTAGTTGTCAAGAATATATACTTTTAATTTTTTTAATTAATAATGTAAATATACAATAAACTTTAGTAATTTCTATGAGGTGGGAATTTGACGGGACCCAGCTATAGTAGCTCAAAGAACAATTCAACGGTTCTACTTGTTGCATTAGTAAATTGTTTTACAACAATTGTCTTAAACTTGGTTAGTAAAAATTAAATTAATTAATTTAAATATGTATAAAAAAGAAGAGCGTGGTCAGAAAACAGAAAGTGAAAGAACACTAAAGTCTAAAAAAAACCTATTCATTATCAAAGAAGCAAAACCAGCAGTATAAGGTAATATTTAGTTTTATAATGAATCCCTTAAGCTAAAAACTTTAGCTAAACTTTTTATTTCTTCTTTTTTGTAATTAAGGCTGTCAGCTTCCAACAGGGATGGAGATACTGCAGCACTTAGCTTACAAACTATCATTTTTGCCAAGAACATCAAAAAAAGCCACTATTCTTGCTTGTCTTTTTCAAAAAAAAATTTCAAAGATGTGCAATAGAAAGTAAGTGTGAATGTATTTTGGCCAAGGTAAAAGAGCCATGGATTAAAGCTGGATTTTCTATACTAAACGATCAAAGTTTAGTGAAAAATCTTTCAAATCTGGACAATGTTTATTCACAACTTAAGAAGCATGAAAAAAGGGGATCTGCTGCTGATTTGGCAAAGCAACAAGAGTTTAAAGTTTACCTGAACAAAGTATTTTGGGCTGGCATTCCTGATCTTAGAAATACAAATAAAAATGACAAAAAAAGATCTGATGAAGACAAGCTTGAGGATTTGGAGTTTCTGGAGGACCAAGAAGGGGAAAGAAGATTTATGCTTGGATCAGAAGATAAAAAGTACAGAAAAAAAGTATGCATTCCTTTGAAACCAAAAAAAAAAAAAAGTTTTCAAGGCTTTCTAAATAACTTACTTACAATTTGTAAGCCACTTAATAAGATTTAAAATAAAAACAGCTAAATGCAATGTTCACTCACAATTTCAATTTCTCATATATTTAAATTAAATTATTAATTATTAAATTCTTTTGACATTTTTAGGCAACAGTGAGTAGCAGAAAGAGAAAGCAGCGTGTGAAACAACAATATAAAGAAGTAGAGGGTACAACTAATGTTGAGATTGATACAGATACTAGTGAGGACTCCTCACGTGATTCTGATTTTATCCCTAGAGAGTGGTTTGAAAGAAAACCTTTTCAACAAAAGGTCACTGCTGAAATTCCCATAGATATTTTTGCTGCTAATGTAGCCCTTATGGCTACAATCAGTGATATTTCTCCAAATGTTTTGCATAAAGTTACAGGTGCAATTCTAACTCAATCAGGAGCTGATCTAACAGATTTTAAATGTAGCCAGTCTACAGCAGCTAGAAAAATAAAATATGCCAATCGTAATATATGCATGATATCTAAAGAAGATGTTCAACAAGCAATGAATGAATCTCCATACCCATGCATAGTACATTTTGATGGCAAAACATTAGTTGAACTAAACAAAGGAAAAACAATTAAAACCGATAGACTGGCTGTACTTGTTAATATTGAAGGTGAGACACACCTTGTTGGAGTACCACCTTTAGTGTCATCCTCTGGTGAAGATCAGTGCAATGGTGTATTAGACATTCTTAAGGAGTACAACCTTGAATCCAAAATAGGAGGAATATGTTTTGATACTACTGCAAGTAACACTGGGTTAAAGAAAGGTTCTTTAATAAGAATATCCAACAATATAGGCAAATATCTTTTACTTATTGCATGCAGACATCATGTATGTGAATTAAGAATGGTTCATTTTTATAATTCAGTTTCAGATGAACATTCCACAGGACCAGATAATCCTATGTTTAAAAAATTAAAAACTGTTTTTGAATGTCCTCATTTTAATTACAATCAAACAGAACTTATAAATTTTGATTGGAAAGCAGTAAGGGAAATCTTTCTTGAGAAAGCTGCACGAGAGTCTTTGAACTTTTGTCAAGAATACATTACAAAAGGAAAAGAAAATAAAGATTTTATCAGAGAAGATAGAAAGGAGCTTGCAGAACTTGTTGTGAGTTACCTTTCTCAGTCTTCAGTAACACTTAGAAAACCTGGAGCAGTTCATCATGCTAGGTTCCTTTCCAAAGCACTTTACTACCTAAAGCTACAGCTTTTATCCAGCCAAATTGAATTCGTAACTCAGAACAATAAACTCAAGACAGAAATCAGACTAATAAGTGAATTTATAGTTTGCTTTTATGCCAAATGGTATTTACAGGCTAATGACGCTATTAAAGCTTTTTTTCTAGATATAAAAGCAATACACCAAATGCAACAGTACCGAAAACTTTGTGCCAAACCAGATGCTGTCGATGCAGTTTTAAACTCTCTATACAGACATAGTTGGTATTTAGATTCAACAATTATTCCCCTTGCTCTGTTGGATGATGATTTGTCATTTGAGGAGAAAGCAAACCTTGCAAAAGTAATTCTAACTTTTAAAATGCCAATTTCAACTTGGTACAATACTAAAAACAAATCGAAAATAGATATAGAAGATAAAACAAAAATGGGAAACAAAATTAGTGAAAATCCTTCTTCCCTTGCTCTGTTGGTTGACGAATTTTCATATCTTATGTTTGATATAATTGGATTAGAGGAACAAAGGATAGAAGATTGGCTTTCGCTTCCCCCTGATTATTGGTTTACCCAATCTGTTTTTAAAAACTTTCAGAATTTTGCCAAATCTTTAATTGTAGTAAATGATCATTCAGAAAGATCTGTTGGAATGATGCAGCAATTTATTCACAGATACAACAATGAGAAAGATAAACAGAATACATTGCTAACTGTTGAAAAAGTTCGGTGTGCTTTCAGAACACCTGGAAGACGTTCAAACAAACTTTCTAAAAGTAAATTTATTGAAAGCTTATCTTCTCTAAATAAAAGGAAGAAAAGTGGTGAAAATGAACATGAACACAACTGAAATTATTTGCTCTTGAAATTTAATCCAATAACATGAAACTATCATCAAATATTGTAATTTTTTCAATTCAAAATACAAAAATAAAAATATTTTTTGAACAATACTATGATACCATATATTTTTACTCAAATATATAGGTAAAAATGAGCAACCCAAAAAAAAAAAAATTTCAAATTTTTGTAATTAAACTTCCCCCCTGGACCTGTGAAATTGGCAATTTTTAAAGGTTTTTGAAAATTTTTTTTCTAAAAAAGTGCTTAGGGGGTAAGGATAAAGTGGTCCTGTTGAGCTCAAATTTTTTGGGAGTTGTTTTTTTAATATTTGCCCCAAATCTAGAGTATATGGTATTTTAAATTTGAAAATTTCCTCATATTGACTACCCCTAATATATATATATATATATATATATATATATATATATATATATATATATATATATATATATATATATATATATATATATATATATATATATATATATATACATATATATATATATATATATATATATATATATATATATATATATATATATATATATATATATACACACTCTTGCATGGTTGTCTTTAAGTTTTTACCATAAAATTTTAGCTTTAAGTTTATTTTTATTTTAAAAACCGGAAATTTTTTTTTTGTTTTACTTATTTGATAGACTTCCCAAACCAAACCCTCAGTCGATGTAGCAGCACTCCGTTGCGAGTCAGGCTATTAGTCAGTCAATGTAGCAGCACTCCATTTTGAGTCAGGCTATACGATCTAGGAACACTCCGCATGTTTTAAAAATGTATTTTAATAAAACAAAAACAAAAATACCACTAATTACAAAAAAACTTTCTAGTCATTATTATTGCAGGTTTTTTTAAAAGCGATAAAATTTAATGAACTTCCTCATTAATTTAATAGCTTTGACATTTGGACAACAATAAAATGTAACTTAATTCTCAAGGTAGCAAAATTGTAGTCGAAAGAGACTTTTTTACATTAAAAGGCTCTTTCGATATATATATATATATACACACACACACACACACACACACACACACACAGAGAAAGAGAGATAGAGAGAGAGAGAGAATGAGAGAGAGAGAGAGAGATAAAGTATATATATTTTATATTACATATTTAGCTAAGCAATATGATATTATACTGAAGTAGGTAGCTGAAGGGCTTCAGTACATAAATTCTACAGTCGCACAAACATTGCGTAAATCAAAAAGTCTTTGTTATCATTTGTGTTTTTAACTTAGGTTTGCTTCCAAGGTCACACAACTACTGCAGCAAACCAATAGCTCTTGTTATAGCTCCTACTAGAGAACTTTGCATTCAAATAGAAGAACAAGCAAAAGCACTTTCTAAATCTATACCAAATTTTTCAACAGCATTGCTTATTGGTGGTAATCCTCTTCCGATTCAATTGCACAGGTATTTTGTTTAAATAGTTAAATCTAGAAATCAAGTAACACTTGAGAAACTATTAAAAGTGAAAGCTTTTAAACAAAATTTGTTTTCTTTTAATTAATATATTTTAATTAATATATTAATATAGTATATGCAGTTGATTATCAAAAAAAGTTGAATATAAAAAAATCTAGTTGAAATGGAAATGTAATCTTATAATGTTATAACATTATAATTAAATCATCTTAATGACCACCATTTTATTAAATTACTACTATCTTAAATTATTATAAATTAAGTCATTACACTTTCAACACTCTGTTTATTTTTATAGGATTTATAAGATTTAAAGCATTTTAATTTAAGATTTATAAGGTTTAAAGCAGGATTTTTATCCTATAGGATTTATAAGATTATTAAGCAGGATTTTTTTTATAATTTAAATGCTTGTTGGACATTTATTTAACAATAATTTTTTTATAACTTTATACTATTTATTTGATATATTGTTTGTAATTTTTTTCTCTTACCAAAAACTTTTTTTTACTTCTTTAAGAAAGGTTTTAATAAGTTGATTGATTAATTACACTAACACTTTATATTCACTGCTTTAAAATTGATATAAGATTTTATTTGATCTAATGTCTATTGTATATACTTAAATTTAGGCTCTTTATATATATATATATATATATATATATATATATATATATATATATATATATATATATATATATATATATATATATATGTATGTATGTATGTATGTATATATGTATGTATGTGTGTATATATATATATATATATATATATATATATATATATATATTTATATTTGTAGAAGTATATATTAAAAGTAGACATGTAAATAGTATAAATTTGCATTTAAACCAACTTTAGTATTCAAATTTCCATTACAGATTAAAACACAAGATTCAGTTAGTGATTGGCACTCCTGGAAGACTCAATGATATTCTGCAAAATTATAAAGATTATTTATGCTTTGATCAAATAAAAATAGTTGCTATAGACGAGGTAGATGTTATGCTACACATGGGATTTGAAAATCAGGTAGTAATATTACATACACATATTTTGAGCAGTTTTTCTAAATAGATTTTATTTTGTTTGTGTATTTATTGATCATGGCATTAAATTGATTATCTATTGCATAGGGCAGGTTGTAGCTATATAGGCAACATGTCTAGAAAAAGGGAAAGTAATATGCTATAAAAACCCCCAATTTAAGGGGTGAACCTTAGGTGGTTCAAGCCTTCCCAGGAAAGGCGTGCAGTTTTTTTTCTCGTACAACCACGAAAACGTTTTTCAAGTTAGAGAACATGATCACGGCTATTTGTGCAAGTTATATTATATGCGTTACTGAAAAATCGTTTTAAATTTAATAACTACATATGAAATTAAAGTAAACTTAAATAGAAAACAATAATAATAGTTTAAACAATTTGTGTGTTGTTTTTATTTTTGTTTTTTCTTAGTGGTTATTATTATTGGCAACAAATTTCATTAAGTCAAAGCAAAAAAAAAAAAAAAAAAAAAAAAAACGGTGCAGGGGTTAAAAAGGATGACTTTCCCATATTTTATGTTTTTTCATTTAAAGAGGAAAGAGAAAATATGTATTGTTGTCTGTTTGTAAAATATATTTGTATAAATATAATGTAACAAGTTTATATCTAGAGTTAAATTATACGATCACGTTTGCAAACTCTGGTAAAATATAAGGTCTTTAAAATTTTTAGTTCATGCAAAGCTGTGTACTTTGTTTGCAAGGAGCAAATTATTAAAAGTTTGCTAGCGAGAAAGTTACTAAAAACAAAACAAAAACACTAAACTTATGACTACAAAAGTAATAACACCGTAGTCACTAACTGCATTATAAAAGTAATAAAACTATAACAGTGTTATTACATTTATAAAGCACTTATTACTTTTAAAGTTCATTCTTTGTTCAAACAACATTATTAATTCCAAACATTTATTAAAGTAGAAAAGCATCTAGAAAAAATAAAGCGGATATTCAAATATTATTAAAAATTTCAGGAACATATCGCTTAAATAACGTTACTTTATAAAAAGTATAGCATTATGAAAAACGTTACGTAAAAATGCGCATTAATTTTAAAATCAATCAATAAAAAATTTTTATTGGTTAATTTTAAAATTAACGCATGTTTTTACGGTTCATTAGTAACGTTTTTCATAATACTAAACTTTTAATACGATACGTTTTCATAAAGTTGTTTGTCACGTTTTTATAAGTTACTTTAGTTTTAATATTATTTGAACATCCACTTTATTCTTCTAGATATTTTTCTACTTCAATTAAAATTTGGGAATACTAATGTTGCTTGAACAAAGAATGAATTTTAAAAGTTATAAGTGCATTATAAAAGTTTTAACACTATTATAGTATTATTACTTTTGTAATGCAGTTTGTGACTAGAGTGTTGTTACTTTTGTAATCGTAAGTTTATTGTTTTATTTTTTCGCTGACAAATTTAAGTTGATTCTCCTCTTAAAAACAAGGAACAGGGTTTTGTATAAACTAAATTTTTGATTACTAGATATTTTTCCAGATTTTGCGTTTTGCATTTGCTTAATTCAACCCTTGTTGTTACATTAAAATTATACAAATAAATTTTACAAACACATTGCAATTTGTATTTTTGCTATCCTCTTAAAAAAAAAAAATTAAGAAAAGGAAAATCATTATTTTTATTTTAGACTTCAAACTGTTTTTTTTTTTTTTGCTTCGCCTTATTTAATTTTGTTGCTCTAATGTAACTCTAAAGAAACAAAAATAAAAACAGTACACAAATTATTTAAATTATTATTTTGTTTTTATTTTTTTTTATTTCAATCTCTTTTTATTTTGTTAGTTTTGTTTTTTTGTTTTTGAACTTTTTCAGCATTATTATAAAACTTGCAAATGGCCGTGTTCAGGTTTTCTAAAATATTATAATCGTGTGTGGTCGTACGAGACAAAAAACCGCACGCCTTTCCTGGGAAGGCTTGGTGGTTGATCTCCTAGTTGTAGTATCACAAAAAAAAAAATTACTGTTGATCCGTAAATAGTTATTTTTAGTTACTGACTTATTTGTTTGTTGTATCAATCTTAAGCGACTCATTTGAATAATTAGTGATGATGTATTATCTAACCATAGCTATAATTATATATAAATTATTAATTGTAATTTATTATTAGCAACTATGCTTATTGGTTGTATTTTAATACAACCAATAAGCATAGTTTATTTAATTATAATACTGCTATTTTAATAACTGTCTTTATACTGCTAACTAATACTCATTGTAAAAATTAAATGCAAATACAGTAAGCGTATGCAAATACCTAAAGCGATATGGAAAAAAACATGTGGACAAATTGTTATCTTCTGTCTATGATGAGGATTAGTATTTTCAATAAAAATAGTCATTTTGGGCAGGTATTAACTGCATCAGTTTATTTTCTTATAGAAGACCTCCTAAACATAGACTTTAGGGATTTGCAGAAAATATTTGTTGACTAGTTTGCACCTTATCTTCATCTAATAGGCATAGGCGTAAACCTGTGTTACATTGATTAGAGTGATGAGTGCTGGATTTTCTTGACTCTAGTCATAAGTTTTTTTGTGTGTGCTTTTTTGGTCATGACTGTGCAATTCTTTCTATTACTTCTTAATTAGGGTGCCATGTATATTAATTAGGGTATTATTGATGATAGAATCAAGTTCTTTAATGATATAAACGCATGATTAAAAGCTGTTAATATTAAACATAGAAAGCTATTACCACTACAGATAGTCACCTGACTTATTGTACTAAAAGATATCTAGTATTTCTATTGTACTTGAACATTAAAGACAAATAAAGGTTTCATAATTAGTACAATAAAACATTTGTTTTTTTATTTTTAGTGGCTATTTAGCTAAATGCTGAAATGCTGCATGCATTAAATAGCGGCCATTTTAGAGTAACGCTCTTAATCAGAGTTCCTAATCTAAGTTGTGCTCAATTGTTGTTCAATAGCTGTTGATTGCTCAATAGCTGTTGATTGTTCAATAGCTGTTGATTGTTCAATAGCTGTTGATTGTTCAATAGCTGTTGATTGTTCAATAGCTGTTGATTGTTCAATAGCTGTTGATTGTTCAATAGCTGTTGATTGTTCAATAGCTGTTGATTGTTCAATAGCTGTTGATTGTTCAATAGCTGTTGATTGTTCAATAGCTGTTGATTGTTCAATAGCTGTTGATTGTTCAATAGCTGTTGATTGTTCAATAGCTGTTGATTGTTCAATAGCTGTTGATTGTTCAATAGCTGTTGATTGTTCAATAGCTGTTGATTGTTTTTACTAATAGATATTTTGTTTCCTCAAAAATTTGCTTCTGTGACCAGGACGGTAATATTCTAAAATTTGTGTGTTTATGAGAATATTTTTGATTTGTATTATTGAGCATTGAGCATTTTTTTTAGAAATTTGCCTAATTTGTGTGTTTATGAGAATATTTTTGATTTGTATTATTGAATTTTGAGCATTTTTTTTAGAAATTTGTCAAATTGCTGAAATTTTTTTGTAAAGTCTGAGTATTTCAAGAATATTCTAGAACTTTCAAGAAACCCTTAGAACTTTCTAGAAACTTCTAAGACTTTCTTTAGCTTTCTTGAACTCTCCAAAAGTGGTCATACAAGTATAAAAGACTTGAGCAAACATTTCAATTCTTGATATTGGTGAATAAAAGAAGATGGAATTGTATTTGAAGAACAATAATTTAATTTGAATTAAGAGCTTGTTTGCATTCGGCAGATACATTTTGCTACATGTGAGAACAATTTGTAAAGACAAGATCAAAAAAGTATTCTGTGGAAGCAAGTTGTAAAGTATATAAGGCCTACAAAGTATCCATAGTCTGTAGACCTTACTTCACATGTAAATATTGCAATGGGATTATCAAAATTATGTAACTAGATACCTTTCACTTAGATGTACTTTATTTTGTATGAGTTTCAATGGTTTAGATATAAGTTTCTGTATATATCATTGTACTATACAAAAATATGTTGCATTTAGTATTATACCATCTATATAAATGATGTGTATAATTTCATACCATCAAATTTATTTAATTAGTTATATGTGTTATATTATAGTAAACAAGCATATGTGTTATGTTATAGCATACAATCATGTGTTATGTTACAGCATACAAGCATATTGTGTTATGTTACAGGTTTGTTTGAAGAAATGAGAGGCATGAAGTTTACAATCTCGCAATTGGCGCATTAGCCAACGGACTATTTAAGCAACTGCTGCTCCTGCATTGTTGAACCTACAAAATTTGCTCAGGAACAATTGCCCCTCGAATGGTTTATCAAAGCGTACTTTTGTCCATTGTCCCTGTACAGCACAGCTACTGACTATCTGGTCCCACTATCTCTATAAGGAATTAGCCATCTTTAAAAGAAAACAACAAGTCTGACAGCAATGAAAATATTTAAGATACAAATGCAGGTGTGGTTGAGAAATCCACACTTCCATAACCAGAAAGACATCAACGATCTTATCAGAAACTTAGATCTTTCCAAGTCAAATGCTGAGTTTCTGATATTCATTCTCAAACAGTAGAATTTTTAGATAAAAATGTCACAGGTTAGAGACAAAATAGTATCATAATTTATGAGCTGTTGAGGCTGCTTCAGAAAATTTTCTCACTTTCCTTGACGAGTTTTTAAAATTTCAATACAGTATGCAGAGAATAGCTTTGAACAGTTTGGTACAGTTGTTCATATGTTCCTGGGTAATCGCATTGTCGAAAACCATGTGAAGTTTGTTCAGATTTTTAGGAAGAATTACTTTAAAATATGTTTCAGAATCTCACTCAAAGTTCATATCCTCATTTTTATAAGTTCAAGGAGAACAAGGGAGCTTACTCAGAAGAGTAAAGCAAGTTTTTTTACCAAGATATAGTGGGCTTTCAAATTTTTATTATGCTAGTGTCTTAAATTTAAAGTTTGGGGTTGATGTACTCATTTTTCCGCGGTCTTTAGATGTTAGCAAATAAAGTATAACACTTTAAATCCCAGCACATCATCAGACAATGTAAAGCAAAAGTTGTGTTAAATTGTCTTATGGTTTAAAAATTTTTGAAATTAAATTTTAAATATAAAATAAATATGAATAAAAATTTAAAATTGAAATCTTTAAGCTATCTTTAAACACAACAAATTTTTTTAAAATTAAATTGAATTGAACTTTTAAGATTTTTTTTTATAGATTAAATCCATTATTGATGCTGTCCCTTGGAAACCACAAATGATGATGTTTTCTGCTACAATCCCACCGGCTATTGAAACATTGGCTCAAAGTATGATGGAAAATCCAGTTATGGTGTCAGTGGGAATATCTGGACTTCCAAATGCACATGTTAAACAACTGGTTTTGTGGGTAGAAGAAGCCTCAAAAAGAAAAAAATTGTTTACTATTTTAAATGACTCAAAGTACTTTACCCCACCTATGCTGATATTTGTTGAATCAAAGAAAGGTGCAGATTTGCTCTGTGATGCTTTGACTCAGGTTTAAAGAAAATGTTTTTTTTTTTTTAATTTTTTTTTTCTTATAAAAAATGATATTTGATAATTATAGGTTATAAGAGATATTTTATGAGATAGTTTAGTATTGTTGGACAATTTTGAAACTGTTTTCTGTATAACTTTTTGTTTGAAAAGTTTTTCAAACAAAAAAATTTTTTTTTCTAATTTGTTTATTTTCAACCTTTTAAATAAATATAAAACGTGTATATTGTGTATATTAGCTTTATGTTTCAAAAATAATTATTTTACCTTTATATATTTTTTTTCAATTAAAATTTAACTATACTCATTATTTCAGTTTTGTTTGGAAAAAATATAGCAGATATAAGTAAACTATGTGTGATTGGGTTCATTAAAAAGGTCAGCTTTTTATATAAACACAAGAAAGCCTTAGCATGCTTTTTCTCTTTTTAGTTACTTAGTATTTTATATATTTTTGGTTACTTTTTTTATCAATAATCAGTTGATCATTCAAACAGTTCTAATATCTGGTATGTAGTTGTTGTTATATTATTTATTCAGAATTGTTAACAGCAACTATTATCTGACAACAATAGATTTGTTGAAGATCGTTGAAGATGGGTTGCATTGGATACTAATTATACTTACTCTGTAGTGATAGCAGTTTTAAAAGATACTCTGTGAAAGGATTGGTATTTAAAATAACTCTGGGGAAGGATTGGTCTTTAAAATAACTCTGTGAAAAGATAAGTCTTTAAAAATACTATGTAAAAATATTAGTCTTTAAAATTAACTGGAACAGTTAAAAATGGTGAATTAAAAAAAAAATTGTTTTTAACTAGTGAGATCAAGTGAGAGGATATTAAAGTTGAGAATGAGGATATTAAAGTTGAGAAAATACTTTAGCTGCTACTAGCAGTTAAAGACATTGTATTTGTACTTTTTTTCCTATTATTCTGATTAACTCCCAACAAGGCTGCAAGCAATCACTATTAAGTTAGGAGTTACTAGAAAAAAAGAATAGAGTTAAAGAGCAAGGAAATGGTTAACAGAAGACTTGAGTCTTCCTCTTTTTTGCTTTTTCTCTAATATAAACAATCTAGAACATTTTCTTTTCTTAACTAAAGCTCATTCATACAAGGCACTCTCTTCTAGTTTTCTTACTTCTACCACTATCATTTTTTCCTGAAGCTGCTACCTCTCTTCATGCTGATACTTAAATCACTTTAATTTTTTCTAACAAACATTGTTTGATACAACATTTTTATGAATTTGTCTAATATTATCCTTTCTTTTCTTGTCTTGCTAAAATCACGCCACACATCCATTTGATCCTCTTCACTTTCGACAAATATTACACCATATAAATACTTAAGTTTATATAAATATGAAAGGATATTGTATGCCAGCATCTAATTAAATAGCAAACATATACGTTTATATCCATAATATGAGTGCATAAAGCGCATCTTGGAAGCTTTTACTTCTTCTGGAATAAAAGTTTGGAAGCTTTTATTCCTTCTTTTCAATTTTAAATCAAGCCTTATTCTACTCCACATTTTTCACTACCTTGAACAGTTGCTTTATTAAACATGAATCATTTTTTTCATTTTTTTTACAAGAACATCTCTCCTAAGAACAAATGTCCTTTTTTTATTAGGGTGTGTCAATTTTTTTTTTTATTATTTCAAAAACTGCAAGGTTACTTTTGGTAAAGAATTTTATGGAGATTCCGAATCTGAAAAAAAAAAAAAAAAAGTTAAAAAAAAATGTCTTGCTGGGTGGGTCAGAATTGTTTTGAACAAAAAAATTACTAAAATGTGACTTATTAACAGGAAAAACTATAACTTAAAAAAAATAATTCTAAAACTTTCGATTTACTCAATAAATGTTATGTTGAATTTTAAAAAAAATTGATTATTTGGTTTAAAAAGTCATAAAAATACACACAGAAAAGGAGTTTTTGTGTAAGGTATTTTTACAAAAATAAGCACTTTTTTCATATTTTAGACAAAGAATGTTACGGTAAAGTGTGTTGTTTGTTTCCATTTTTTATCAAACTTTGAAAGTAAGGAGAGTTCGTTTTTGTGGGGAATTTTATAAGGAAGCTGAATCTGAAAAAATAAATAAAAATGGCAAAAATATGAATGATTAAAGAGGAAAAGTTATTAATTAAAAAAAAAAACATTTCAATTTTTTTATAAACTCAATATAAACTATGTTGAACTTTATAAAAATATCATATTTTGTTAAAAAGTCAAAAAAATAAACACATAATGGGGGCTTTTGTGAAGGCTGCTTTTAGAAAAATTAGTCTATTTTTTCATATTTTAGACGGTGAATGTTATTCTAGGTACACTTTCTTTTCTAAAACTAATAATAAGTCAAACACTTTTGTTATAACAAACAGTATATTATATACTAATACATTTATAATAAATATTAATAATTAATGATATCTTTGTTTAAATTTACATGTAACTAACAATTAATAGTTTATAAATTTTATTTAAAATTTATGAGTTCAACTAAGTTATATTTTTCATTATTTGTACTCATAAAATTCCTACTGATTTCTAGTGGTCTTACATATCCTACTTGCTTTTCATGGAATTATGTTTTTACACAAGCCTCTGTAGCCTATATTAAACATTACAAACAATTTAGTCATTAACAAATTTTAAATAAGTTATTATATTCTTGTAATTGTATAAAAAATAAATCTGCTTAATGTAATGTTGGGTGGATTGGGAATGGTGTGGCCAATCTGGAACAACCATAGGCTTGTAAAAATATTTTCTGACTTCATGGGTTGTGAGGCTTGTGGTAAGTAGTGGTTCATATATTGAATTTTTCCACTCAATTAGATTGATCAATTTATAAGCATCAGAATTTATGCATGGGGTTTTGCAAATTCTTACTGAAACTCTCCGAACTGAGTATTATCATCTCCTTCCTTTCTAATCTCTAGCACCTTTTTTACTCCTAACTTTCATTCCTCTTCATCTTTGGAACACAAAAGAGTTTGAATAATGCATTCACTAATTGAATTTCTCTTTACAGTTTTCATTCTATTGCAACAACCCTTTTTTTTTTTACATTTGTGTTGTTTCAATTGAAATGAAACATGCCAAGGTCCATCTAACCACAAATATTTTACCTTTATTTGAAACCAGCAAGGAAAATGCACACAAATTCAATAGTTAAACGTAGATTTCTGAGGGTTTTTTTCTGTTATTTTCCTTATGAATTAAAACCCAAAATCTACAAAAATGGTTGGCTGTTATGAGCCATCTGGAATGAGAAACAGCCCTTATTTCAAGGTTTGATAATTTTTCAGGAAACACCTGGAGTGTTACCTGAGTGTCTTATTGCTGTTACAATTCTGTATTCGTAAGCCTGATTAGCCGAAAGATAATTTTGTATTTTGTCCCGCAAAACAATAAGCGGTTCACCTAAAGTTACTTTTTTAAAGTTTTTGTTTGCATATTTTCATTAGAGAGATCTTGGCATATTTTATTCCAATTAAATTCCCTGTGTAAAAACATATTTCCACGAGAAGGAAGATAAATAACTTTAAATTATTTTTCAAAATTATTATTATAGAATAAGTGAATTTTTATTGTATAAAAGTTTTTTTTTTTAGAAATTTTCCTTAAAGTGTGAATCCATGCATTCAGATAAAACACAATCAGAACGAACTTTGATAGTAAACAATTTTTTAACTGGGTCATTTGACATTCTTGTATCCACCAATATCTTAGGTCGTGGAATAGATCTTCCAAATGTGAGACAGGTTAGTTGATTTTCCTTGAAATAGTTCACTATGTAAATGACAAATATTAAAATTAATCATCAAAGTTGTATTAGTTGTTAAAAGTTATTTTAGAAGAATAATTTACTAAAACAAAAATATTTTATTATTATTAAATTTTATTTTACACTATTATAAAATATTTATATTATTAATTGTTAATACAAATATTATTTTATGCACTAGGTGCTGTTGTTTGATTTCCCGAATTCTATCGAAGAATATGTTCACCAAGTAGGGAGAGCTGGACAGTTACATTCTTATGGCTTGTCGATTGCCTTTATTAATAATTCTAATAAACATATTTTCCTTGATCTAAAAGAACTTTTTGAAACAACAAAAGGCAATTTACCTTTTGAAATATTAAGTTCACCTTATTTGCAAACTTTAAGAGAAACTAGATTAAAGTTGTATAAAGAAGGAAAGTTAAAACGAAAGCATGGAATTGATGAAGACCTTAATTCACAGAATTTATTACAAATATTGACCAAGTCTTACAAAAGATAATTGCAAGAAATTTATATATATATATATATATATATATATATATATATATATATATATATATATATATATATATACATACATACATATTTGTACATATTTTGTGTAATTAAATGTATTTGTTTTTAATTTATATATTATTAAAAAAATTTGTATAATGTTGATTTCTTATTAAAAAGAGTCCCATTTTTAAAGATTTCTTTTTTGGAAAACCTGATCCCATAAATTAGATTTTTCAACTTTAAACATAATTTTGTTGTGACATTATTCATTATTTTTATTATTAGTTTGTTTGTGTTGTTTTTTATATAGAAATTCCTTTGCTTTTGCTCCAAGCAGCTTTAAGTTGAACGTCAGAAATTAAAGCTGTTAATGAGCAAGAACAAAGAAATAGTAAGCATTAAAAGATATACCTGAAAAAAATGCCAAGTTGTACATGAGTGAATTATGTTGAAATAGGAAAAAGAAATGATATCTTGTTTGAGCAGTACTATATAGTAATATATGTAGTATATAGTAATATATGTAGTATGCATGACTATAGTAATATATGTAGAGAAGAGAAAAAGAAATAACAGTTACACACACTACTAGGGCCAACTATGTCCATAATGCATTTTTTCTGTTTTAAAGTAATAGAGTACTATTGAAAGATTCTTTCCAGATATCACAATGTTTTTTACAAAAAAAATATAAGATATAGAAACATATAGATTATAGATGTAACAGAAGTGTATCTGAGGTATAACTGAGGTTTTAAATTTACATTATCTCAATAGAATCATAGTACAGCAAAATACATATATGTTAAAGATGTTATGCCTCGACTCTTGCTCCGAATGATGTGAAATTTCCATTGAGTTTTTCTAACTCCAATAATTTCAAATCAGAAGTTATAACAAAGATCAAAATTTATAACGATTTAGTGCTTTTTATATTGATGAATCAGCTCTGATAAATCTCTGTTAAACCTCAGATGATTCATTTTTTAGTATTTTTTTAAGCAATATTTTTTATTTTTCTTGAAAGTTTTTCCTGACAGTCTGTTGAAAATATAATGAAAAAAATAAAAATAGAAACAAATATCATTAATAAAATATTAATAAACCAGAAAAGTTTTAAACGTAATTTTTTTTTTTTTAATAAAAAGATAAAACTTTTAATTAATGTAGCTGTACTTCTTGTATGTTTTACCTATTTAAGTCAGTTTAAAACTGTATAAAACCTTAAATAAATTAAAACAGTTTAAAACAGCACAAAACATTAAAAAAATAAAAATAGTTTCAAGTTAAGTTAAGTTTTTGTGGTAGTTTAAAAAAGTTTACTTTTGTATCCATTTGCAATTAATGTGTGGCCATGACGCAGTTGTTACAGCGCTTGCTTTATAAGCAGGAGATCCAGGTTCAAAACGAGCTGTGGACATATTTCACCTCATGGTAAGGAAGGAGGTGTGAACTTCCTGATTAAATGCACTTCCGCGGTGCTCTGACAAGACAGTTAGGTCTTCTTGGGGTACCTAAATAACAAAAAAAATAAATAAAATAATTAATCTCATGCTTTTGGCTATTTAAGTATTAAAGTATTACAAATTTATTTCAAATTATAAGTTTATTATAAATTTATTTCAAATTATAAGTTATAACAAATTTAATTTAACAAAAATTTTATTATTAATTAACAATCATGCAGCAATGTTTAAAATTAGGATGATTGTTAATTATAAGAAATTAACGATCATCCTAATTTTAAATGCAAATATCTTTTTAAACTGTTTTTTTTTTTTTTTTTTGCTTTTTTTCAATAATCTTTAGAATTAAATCTGGTCTTGGTATTTCATGCAAAACTTATTAAATTTTTGAAGGAATTCTATTTCTGTTTCCAGCTAATGCAAAATTATGCTATGTGCAGTAGTAAATATTTTTGTTCTAATGTTAGGTTTACATAAGTCACTTTGTTTTTGCTTTGTTCTTATGTAATAATATGTTTAAACTTCAATAATTTTTCATAATTTCTGAACTTTTATAATTTTTTAACAAGTTTATTTTATAACTTTACTGACTGTCCCAGAAAAATGGGACACTTTTTATGTTAAAAGGGACACATGAAAAACATGGAACACTTATACAAATAAATATGGGACACATAAAAAATAAACAGGACATTTCGAAAATTTTCATGTTAATCTGGTTGATTATAGTTAAGATATTTTGTGTGTTATTAGCAATTAATTTTTTATTTTTTAATTTATATTATAAAAATTTTATTATGTATTTGTTCAGTAATATATAAAAGTTTTAAAACTTAAAAAGTATTATGCAGAAACTTGATAAGCTTATACATTTAAAAAGAAATTCTAAGAATGTGAAAATTGTATGTGAGCATTATTTGCGTAATGATATACCTTGCAAAAATGTTTTGTGCAACAGTTGTGAGAAGGTGCCAGGTATTTTGATGATTTTTTATCAATAAATTTTTTTAAATAAAATTTTATTTTATATAGATTTGTTTTTTGGAATAAATTTTACAGGTAAAATGCTTGCAATTGAATGCACACATTACATTGTACCTGACTGTGAGGTAACAATTTTTTTTTTAATTGTTGTACCCAACTGCAAGGTTACAGTTTTTTTTAAGTAAATGTTTTTGCTGTTACAATTTAAGCTTTTTTAATATAAAATATTCAAGGCAAAAACAAAGAAAAAATTGAAATACCTAAAACCTTAACATAACAAGTTTTAAGAACCGAATCATGTTATTTTTAAAAACTTTCATACATATCATATTATTTATTATATACATTTTTTAGTCTTTTAAACTACATTTATGTATAAATATTAAGTTTATATTTAAGCTATAAATGACATCTGTACTTGAAACAAATACTAGACATTGGTGAAACTTACCTAATATAACCATCTGATCTAGGGTAAAAACAAGCATCATTCATGTTTAGAAAAACTTTTTATAGTATCTTTTTCCCTCATGAGGCTTGGCTAAAAGGTTAAATGTTTCCTGATTTCTGCTTTTAGATTTGAGCACAGGAGTTTCCTACTTATACATAAGGGTGGCTCTTAAAGCTACATTTTAGAGAAATATCTTTTCTGACCCCCTAAAAGTGTTCTATATAATAAAATGACACCAAGTTTCAAATATTTCTGCATAAAAGTTATTTTGAAAATATTATTTAAAAGTTATTTTTTTTTTTGTTAATATTAGTAACTGGGTTCCTAATATTAACTAAAAAAAATAATTTTAAATAATATTTTTGGAATAAGTTTTTTAAGGAAATATTAAAAACATGGCGTTATTTTATTATACATATATATATAAAATATATTATATATAAAAATATATATAATATATACAGGCCTCGGTGGGAAGAAATAAGTGCAAGAGCAGTGAAAGGCTAAAACAAACATGGCGAGCTATGCGAGCTGCTTCTCTAAATTCTTTAAATGAGCATTGTTTTTATTGCATATGAAAAAAGTTTTATATTTTCTTATTGTAATAGAATGCAGGGATTTTAAGAGTTGTTAAAGATAATATTATATACATATTGTTAAAGATAATATTTATATATATACATATTGTTAAAGATAATATTTATATATATACAGGCCTCGGCGGGAAGCAAGAGCTTTAGCTCTCGCTTCCCGCCGAGGCCTGTATATATATAAATATATGTATATATGCATAATATATATATATATAAATATATATATATAATATATATATAATGTATATATAATGTATATATATGTATATATATATATATATATATATGTATATATATATATATGTATATATATATATATGTATATATATATATATATATATATATATATATATATATATATATATATATACACATATACATATATATATATATACATATATATATATATATATATATATATATATATATATATATATATATATATATATATATATATATATATATATATATATATATATATATATTAGGAGTGCACTGATGCATCAACATCAGTCGTTTTTTAAAAGTTATCTTTTTATATTGTATAAAAAAATATAATAATTATATATATATATATATTTTTTTTCAATATAGAAACACTAAATTAAAAAAAATTATTTTTTAAACAAATCTGCATTGGCCGATAGTTACCAAGACCAATGCTGATGCATCTGTAATGCACCAAACTTTTGTATGTTCATGCTTATGTCAAATGAGCTTGGGGACAAAAAAAAAACAATTTTTGGGCCCACCTAGCCCTTTTTTTTTTTTTTTATTTGCATTCACTCCCAACAAGGCTGCAAGCAACCACTATTAAGTTGGGAGTTACTAGGAGAAAAAAAAAAAGAACAGAGTTATGGAGCAAGGAAACGGTTGACAGAAGACTTGAAAAGTTGAAGGTTGTATGAGTCAGGAAAACATGAAGATGGGAGAGAGTTCCAAAGGATTGAAGTGCGGGGAAAAAAACTAGATGAATAAAAGTTTTTAGAGCATGCAGGGACAGGTACAGTATGAGACTTAGCTGAATGACGAGTAAAACGAGAATGAATTTTAGTTGATGGAACTAGAGATGATAACTCCTTTGAGCAGTGACCATGATAGTATCTGTAGAAAAGAGAAAGAGATGCAACTTTACGATGATGGGAAAGAGGTTCAAGCTTAGCAGATAGTCCAGGTCCAACAACATTTACAATGCGTTTTTGGACCTTGTCAAGAAGAGAAAGTGAATCGTTAGAAGAACCAGCCCAAATATGACAACAGTATTCCATACAGGGACGAATAAGGGATTTGTAGAGGTAGAGAATGGAATCAGAAGTAAGGAAATGACGAGCACGATAAAGAGAAGCAACCTTAGCAGAAGCTAATTTAGCAATCGATTGTATATATAGTTTCCATGAAAGGTCAGTAGTGAGCGATAATCCAAGAAGACATAAAGAGGAGGATTGCCATTCATTAATATAGGAATGTTGACCATATTACGGTAGTTGTTTGCAGTAAGCAATTGGGTTTTTTTAGAGTTGAAATTCACAAGCCACTGTGAACCCCAATCTATTACTAAAGTGAGATCAGATTCAAGATCAGCTGCTTGTTCTAGGCGATCGAAAAGAGAAGACTTTTTGTCAAGACAGGAGTATAAAGTTGAGTCATCAGCAAAAAGAGCTACTTTAGATGAAAGGTTGTCAGGAAGATCGTTTATGTAGATAAGAAACAAAACAGGGCCCAGGATGGAACCTTGGGGAACCCCAGAAGTTACTGGAAATAAAGAAGAGTGTTGGCCTTCAAGGATGACTTTAATAAACCGGTTAGAAAGAAATGATTTGATAATCTCAAAAACTTTCCCAGAAACACCATATGAAGCAAGCTTATGGAGAAGACCAGCATGCCAAACTTTGTCGAAAGCTTTAGATATGTCGAGAGCAATAGCCTTAGCCTCACCGCCTCCATCTAATGCACGATAAAATCTTTCAGTTACAGCAGTTAGCAAGTCGGCCGTAGAGCGAGAGGATGGAAAACCGTATTGATTGTCTGACAGCAGTTTATTTGACTCAAGATGAGATGAGAGGAATTTGTTGATCAAAGACTCAAAGACCTTGCTAATAACAGAAAGAAGACTGATCGGACGATAATTGGAGGGCTCAGAATTTTCTCCAGAGTTTTTGAATATTGGAACCACAGATGCCATTTTCCAACAAGCAGGAAAACAAGACTCAGTCAAACACTTGTTAAATAGTTTAGAGAGAATTGAAGAAAGATCTGGAGAACAATTCTGCAAGACTGTGACAGGAATGTTGTCTGGACCACAAGCGGTAGACGAGTTTAATTGAGATATGACTTTAGCAACAGAAGCCGGAGTGATTTGAATGTCTAACAATGGGTCAACCTGTTTGACTGGAATGGAAGGAAGAGAATGTCCATAAGATTCAAAAGTGGAATTAGAAGAAAAGTTCTTTGCAAACAGTTCTGCCTTATCCCTGGGAGAGGTAACAAGATCAGTCCCATGAATGAGAGATGGAATGTTAGATCTACCCTTGTTAACAATGCTGTTGAAGATTTTCCAAAAGTCTTTAGAGCCTAACTTCTGCGATAAGATGCGAGATTTAGTGAACTGAGAATAATGGAGTTTAGCATCAGAAAGCACCTTTTTACATCGATTTCTTGCAATAATAAATAGCCGTTTGTTCTCAAGAGAGTTGTTCTTTTGAAAAAGATGAAAAAAATGATAACGATTGGATATAGCAGCCGCACAAGAAGGAGAAAACCATGGAGTAGAATGAGGCTTGACTTGAAACCGACGAGAAGGAATAAAAGCTTCCATTCCAGCCTGAATCCAGGAGGTTACGTAGGAGGCATATTTGTCAGCTGAGAGAGAAAAAACATCAGCCCAAGGACCATCACGAAGAAAATCACGAAAGGAATCCCAGTCAGCTTTAGGGTAGTAGTAGGTGGTGCGATGATAAGGTGAGCCCAAAAAAGAAGTACGAGAAGAAAGATTTATAGAGATCATTGCATGGTCAGAACCACCTAAGGGAGAAAAGGGAGAAACTGAACATAAGCTAGGGTCAGAGACAAGACATAAGTCAAGGAGTGAAGGTAAATGATTAGGGTTGTCAGGAAAATGAGTCACAAAGTTAACTATCTGAGTAAGAGATTGAGAAACGCAGAAGTTAAAGGCTTTAGTGCCAGCAGGATCAGTGGTGTTAGAGCCAAGCCATTCAGTGTGATGGGCATTAAAATCACCATCAACAACAATATTGGCAGAGGGGTAAAGAGAGAGGGCATGGTCAATTTGATCAGAGATAACATCTAAAAAAGTGCAATCATGGGAAGAAGGAGAACGATAAAGAACAAAGAGAAAGGTGATAGAGTGAAGAGGTGCTAGGCGAAAGCACATAAAAGAATGGTCAAAGGATTCGAACCTGATTTCACGACAAATAGGGGAATTAATGCGTATGTATACCCCTAAACCTAGCATGTGACTATTGGAGTCTTTACGAATCAAAGGATAGTACCCATCAACACTGACATCTGAAGAAGGAATTGCAGAATTTAAATTTGTTTCACTGAGTGCAAGCAAGTCTGGTGAATTTTGAGGTAAGACTCAACTGATGGAAAGTTGCTTTGTAGACCGCAAATATTTGTAAAAGATATATTAAAATATTTAGGTGGTGGGGATGGTTTTTTAGGTTTTAAATTTTTGGTTACTTTGGTCGTGATTTGGGTTTAATGAGAACTTGACTCATTCATAGATAGAGCACAGCCTCCTAATCAATGAGCTATGCAGTTGTCTCAGTCCTGTTAATTAACCCTAAGCCGTGACATAGGGCTCCTTATGTGGCCTTGACAATGCACACCAAAAGCATTAACAGGGACACCATCCATGCGCAACATGTTAATACTCTGATATTTTGCAGCTGTTGATGGAATCAGCCTCTCTGAGAGCTACCACAGAGTTCGGGAAACCTTACTACCAGCCGGCCTCAGAACCATTAAACTGAGTTTTAGAGCTGTACCCTCAAATAGAGATAACAGGAAGAGTTGCATAGCCATTATCAAGGAGGCATAAGCAAAATTCTATGAGTAG